ACCTACAACAACCCAGTATTAGTTGTTGTCGTTGTTGTTACAAAGGCTGGGAGCCCATCTGTTGGGGGTGCTTTGATCGTGCTTTGCCTTTATGGCAGAATAAAGGGGATCAGACTGGATGCCACCTGGGGTCATAATAATAATAATAATAATAATAATAATAATAATAATAATAATAATAATAATAATATAAAGGCTGGGAGGCTATCTCTTTGAGGGGGCTTTGATTGTGCTTCTCCTACATGGCAGAAGGGGGTTGGACTGGATGTCCCCTGGGGTCTTCCACTGAAATATTGTTAAGTTTATGTAGGTTAAAATTGTTCTTCATTTTAAATAATGTTCTTTATTTCTTTCCCCTTTTTTTGCACTACAAATGAGATATGTGTAGTGTGCAATGTGTAGAGAAATTTGTTCATTGGGTTGTTGTGTGTTTTCCAGGCTGTATGACTATGCTCTTGAATCATTCTCTCCTGACATTTTGCCTGTATCTATGGCAGGCATCCTCAGGGGTTGTGAGACCTCACAACCTCTGAGAATGCCTGCCACAGATGTAGGCAGAAATGGAGATGAGCACCACCCCCAGAGTCAGACACAACTAGACTTAATGTCAAGGGGAAACCTCTACCTTTATCTTATATCAGTGGTACCCAACCTTTTTTTGACCAGGCATCACTTGACCAGGGACCGCTTTGACCAGGGACCGCTTTGACCAGGGACCACTCTCCAACATTAGTACCAAAAGAGTTACAAATCACAACATACCGCATAGGGAAGCTGATGAGGAAACACAACATACAAACAATCTACAAACCCACCAAGAAAATCCAACAAATGCCACGTTCAGCAAAGGACAAGAGGGATCCTCTCACCTCTGCAGGAGTCTACCGGATACCATGCAGCTGTGGACAAGTCTACATAGGGACCACCAAACGCAGCATTGCCCAAACACGAATCAAGGAACATGAAAGGCACTGCAGACTACTTCAACCAGAGAAGTCAGCCATAGCAGAGCACCTGATGAACCAGCCTGGACACAGCATATTATTTGAGAACACAGAAATGCTGGACCACACCAACAACCACCATGTCAGACTACACAGAGAAGCCATTGAAATCCACAAGCATGTGGACAATTTCAACAGAAAGGAAGAGACCATGAAAATGAACAAAATCTGGCTACCAGTATTAAAAAACTCTAAAATTACAACAGCAAAACAGCAGAGAGGAAACAACCAGGCACATCTTAACATCTCTCAACAAAAGATTTTCCCAGGCTCAGCCAGGCCTTCAAATGCTAATGAAGGTGGTCAGTTGAAACATTCACACCTAGCTCCAGCAGAGAAGAGCTCTTTGCCCCACCCCAGCCATTCCACAGATATATAAACCCTTTTCCTAGTTCCAATAGACCTCACTACCTCTGATGATGCTTGCCATAGATGCAGGCGAAACGTCAGGAGAAATGCCTCTAGAACATGGCCCTATATTCCACAGGATAGTATGCTAATCAGTTTTTTGTCAACTTTAGATTCAGTTTGGTTATTTGGGTGCTGATTCAGAAAATTGCATTGGATAGACCACATCAGCTCTAGTTTCTGATACAGAACATATACCATCCAGTAGTCGCCATTTGCTTGTTCACAGAAAACCATATCTAATAAGCCTTGGCACTATAAGAGGGTTTTGTGAGACCAGTTGCTCCCGTTGCAATGGTGTAATAACGACGAGGCCACAGACCATATTTTAGTTCTTGCGAACCACTGGTGGTTCACGGATCACAGGTTGGGAACCACTGCCTTAGATACTCCACGGGAACTTGTGAGCTTTCTACTTCTGTCTTTTTTTGAGGCAGTTATTTTTACCCAGGGGTTTTCGGAGACCTAATAATTATTCCAAGTGTTCCTCCAGGGCAAAAGGTTGAAAAAGTCTGGTCCAATCAAATGTTTGCAAATAATTTTTCAAGTACTGTGGACAGAATTTTGTTGAGGCATTGCATGTTTGTAAGTGGACTTACATATTCAGGGAATAGAATTGAGAAGATGTGTAATGTCCGCATCCGATAGAGAGCTGCTTCGTTCAGTATTTCCGCAGAGCCAGAAAAGGAACTGATGTACAATGGGACACCTATGCGACACATTCTGATGTGCATCGGGTTCACCCAAACGCATTGGCTATACACATTCACTGACCAAAGTTCTTGGTGGCTCTGCTACGTCATTGAGGACACACAAATTTATGTCGCATACAAGAACTCAAAGGATTCCATCTTGAATTATTCTTGACTAGCCATCCCCTGCCATGCGTTGCTGTGGCCCAGTCTAGTGATCTGGAAAATAAAGTAATGAGGAAGTGTTGGTTTCTAATATATGCAGTTTCTTTATGCTTGTGGGTAAACAGTATTTCTTGTTGTTTCTTTGTCAGTGTTGATGTAGAGATTGTCTGGTTTGCCTATTCTGGAATATGCAACATATAATTGTCCTTCTTTAGGGGTCCCTTTCAAATCTATGATACTATATCTTTCTGTGTGTGAACCATATATATCTATCTATATCTATGACTGGATGGCTCTTTGTCAGGACGGTTTTGATTACATTTTCTTGCCCCGGTGAAGGGAGTTGGACTGGATGGCCTTAAGTATTTTCTGTTGGTCATGGTGGTTCTGTGTGGGAAGTTTGCCCCAATTCTGTTGTTGGTAGGGTTCAGAATGCTCTTTGATTATAGGTGAACTAGAAATCCCAGTAACTACAACTCACAAATGTCAAGCTCTATTTCCCCTAAACTCCATCTGTGTTCATATTTGGGCATATGGAATATTCGGGCCAAGTTTGGTCCAGACCCATCATTGTTTGAGTCCACAGTGCTCTCTGGATGTAGGTGAACTACAACTTCCAAACTCAAGGTCAATGCCCCACAATCCCTTCGTTTTCTGTTGGTCATGGGAGTCCTGTGTACCAAGTTTGGTTCAATTCCATCATTGGCGGAGTTCAGAATGCTCTTTGATTGTAGGGTGAACTATAAATCCCAGCAACTACAACTCCCAAATGACAAAATCAATTTTTTGTGTGATGGTCACTCGTTGGGTTAGTAGGTGTCTTGTGGTCAAATTTGGTGGCAATGCGTCCAGTGGTTTTTGAGTTATGTTAATCCCACAAACGAACATTATGTTTTTATTTATATGGATACATTGTCGAAGTATTGTCGAAGGCTTTCATGGCCGGAATCCCTGGGTTGTTGTAGGTTTTTTCGGACTATATGGCCATGTTCTAGAGGCATACGTTTCGCCTGCATCTATGGCAAGCATCCTAGAAATATATAGACATATAGATATATTTCGAACATTCTCTCAAGAGGATCTGCTCTTATTGGAGAGCCATATTCATGGAGGCAGCATTTCAGATGGACCAGTTCCATTAAAGAACACGTAACATGTAAGGCTTATCTCTATTGCTGACTTGCTTAGGCGATCCCTCACTTTCCAAGGATGATTGTCTTGCAGTGTTCTTGTGGGTCCATATGTGGCTGTGGAGCCCTATTCTTGCTCTGTATCTTCTTCTGCAGTGAAGGCATTGGTTTCCAGGTGGAAGGCGGTCTCGGTCGGGGTTGGCTTGACGCGCCTTCCTCTTGGCACGCTTCTCCCTTTCGCCCTCCATCCATGCCTCTTCAAATTCTGCACCACTGCTGGTCACAGCTGACCTCCAGCAGGAGCGGTCAAGGGCCAGGGCTTCCCAGTTCTGAGTGTCTATGCCAGAGTTTTTAAGGTTGGCTTTGAGCCCATCTTTAAATCTCTTTTCCTGCCCACCAACATTCCGTTTTTCATTCTTGAGTTCAGAGTAGAGCAACTGCTTTGGGAGACGGTGGTCGGGCATCCGGACAACGTGGCCGGTCCAGCGGAGTTGATGGCGGAGGACCATCGCTTCAATGCTGGTGGACTTTGCTTCTTCCAGCACGCTGACGTTGGTCTGCCTGTCTTCCCAAGAGATTTGCAGGATTTTCCGGAGGCAGCGCTGATGGAATCGTTCCAGGAGTTGCATGTGACGTCTGTAGACAGTCCACGTCTCACAGGCATAGAGCAGGCTTGGGAGGACAATAGCTTTATAGACAAGCACCTTGGTATCCCTACGGATGTCCCGGTCCTCAAACACTCTCTGCTTCATTCGGAAAAATGCTGCGCTCGCAGAGCTCAGGCGGTGTTGTATTTCGGTGTCGATGTTGACATTGGTGGAGAGGTGTCTGCCAAGGTAGCGGAAATGATCAACATTTTCTAATGTTACACCATTAAGCTGTATCACTGGCTGAAAATTCTATTGCTGAAAATGAGTCCTGGTTCATGTGCACTTTTGTTCATTAAGCTTTAAATTAGAATCATCAATAGAAGAATCATCAATAGAACTGTCAGCCAGACAGTTCACCATAAAATTAGATTCTGAACCCAACAGAAAGAAAACACAACGTAATCCATTATAGATGCTCCGGAGTTTGTTGAAAAAAATTAAATCTCCATCTCTCTCTGTTATCCTCTCCATTGGAAATGGCCAGCTCAAGTCTAATAATCCTAAATATAGGGCAATGCCCTCTTAGGTAAACCTGTGATCCTTAGATTATTTATGGGCAAGACAGTTTTTGAGGAGGAAATTACTGAGGGTAAGAACGATGAACATTATTATTGTGCCCAGCCTGTGCATTGAGTCTTCTGGACAGTGTATTATTAATTTACCAATATACTTGGGCAGCTTTTACCAGCATTTCTTGTCTAGTGACTTGTGCCTTTTTAAAGTTGGTGCCACAAGAAGAAACAAGTTTGTTTACAAGCATTAGGCAGAAGAATTCAAGTAGAGGTTGGACAACCTGGCTCTTCAATGAAAAACTGCTACTGAAACATCAGTCGTGGTGACTTAATGCTTTGTGGATATGGATGGGATACCTGAACTGGTGAAGACTGTTAAAACCAAGAACCGAATGGCATGAAGAATGTACTAATTATGGTCATTTTGGTGGGTTTCCAGGTACTCTTTTCCTCTGGATGTTCTGGCCCAGCTTCAATTCCGTGTTGATAATGAACACAAAGGAGAAATGGGTCGCTGTGTGCAACACCTATTTGGCAATTGCTGCCAGTTCCATCTCTGCCTTTTCAATCTCAGTGGCTACCAGCAGAAATGGAAAGCTCAAGATGGTAAGATCTAAACTTTAAGTGGTGAGTCCCTTCCCTTTAAAACAGCATCCTATCCATTGAAGAGAGACACTTGCTTCTGAAACTCTGGATTAAGAAGCTAGGGTTGATGGGAGCTGCAGTCCAATGATACCAGTTTCCCCCTTTTACTCGACCTAATCCTCCTTGATTCATCCGGAGAGGCCTTGCTCACGATCCCACCTGCATCGCAAGTGTGATTCATGGGGACGAGGGACAGGGCCTTCTCGGTGGTGGCCCCCCGACTCTGGAACTCTCTCCCCAAGGACATCAGGCATGCCCCAACCTTGGCAGTTTTTAGGAGGAGTTTGAAAACGTGGTTGTTCCAGTGTGCCTTCCCAGAATAAGGAAACTCCAGGCAATATGCCCCTCAATGCACTTTACTAGAGATTCAGGATGTCTGCACGCCCCATCCCCCTGTAATTACCTATCCTTCTCACCTTGTCATGCCCAGCACTTTTTAACATTTTTAACTACTACATTTGGCCCTGCCACAGATTTTAATGCGTCGTGATGTTTTGTTAATGTTTATGGCTTTGGTTTATGAGTTCATTTATTTTGCTTTGTTGTTGTTGTTATTGTTTTGTTGATGTATTTGGGCTCGGCCTCTTGTAAGCCGCACCGAGTCCTTCAGGAGATGGTAGCGGGGTATAAATAAAGGTTTATTATTATTATTATTGGAGCCCCTGGTGGTGCAGTGGGTTAAAGCCCTGTGCCGGGTCGCAGGTTCGAATCTGGGGAGAGGCGGATGAGCTCCCTCTATCAGCTCCAGCTCCTCATGCGGGGACATGAGAGAAGCCTCCCACAAGGATGATAAAACATTAAAATCATCCGGGCGTCCCCTGGGCAATGTCCTTGCAGACGGCCAATTCTCTCACAACAGGATTCTCCTGACACGACTATAATATTATTATTATTATTATTATTATTATTATTATTATTATTATTATTAACGTTCAGAGCTTCACCTTCAACATTTCTGTTGGACAAGGATTGAATTCCAGAGTGGCACATAGTTATTTTCAGCAGGGCTAGAGGCAGGTATGTGGTCAAGATTCAAGTTAGCATCAACTGGGGGGAAGAGCCTGGGTGCTTAAGGCAATGTTCTCACATGAAAGACAATAGTGATTCTTTAGCTTTTGGCTGCCTGAGGATGGGACCGTTTTGTTCTTTGGGGACTAGCTGATGTGCATGAGTGCAAGTGACCAGCTGACAAAATGCTCAAGTTAGCTAATGCCAAGATATGCCATTATCTACCTGGGTAAGTCTGGGAATTGTTATTGTCATGACCTCCTCTCCTGGGGTTGTGGGGAACTATGAAAGTAGCCCGTGCCTTGGCCTGTAACTCACTTGAAGCAAGGGAGAGGGTTTCCATGGAAATGGGGCTGTGAAGCGGAGGGCCAAAGTGAGGGATATGAGGTGAGATGGAAAGTGTTGAGATTAACTTCACAATTCAGCAGCAGATCAGTTGCACAACTTCAACGCTTCTTCCTGCAAAGCGCTTCTTCCTGCACAGTATTTTCAATCAACTGCTCCCACAGCCTGCAGTCACTCTGGAACCTTTTACAGACACTTGAGCACATGCCCGGCCATTGTCAGTTTTACCATTGTCTTTTCCCCAGTCTAGATGATATTACAAACTTACCACAGCATACAGTTATTTCTTGTCTTAGCAGACAGGTTCTTTAATTACATATAGCCTTCGATGAACAACATCACAGCACAAGGAGAGATATACACTGTACATGACTTCCTTATATACAATTCATTTACACATAGCAATCACTGATTGGTTCCCAACTCATTGACTTAACTCAAACCCAGGATTGCATCATTCACAATCACCTGGACTAGGCCAGAACACATTCCCCAAATGATTCCCTATATACAGTCAATGCATGACTCAGCATTTCCAATAGAAGCCCATTAGCAGTGCATGACTCAGCTATATTACATTACAATACATTGTAAAACCTGACAGAAAGAAACTGTCAGGTGGAACTTTGCTTGTAACCGTACTATATGCTTTGAGAAATAAAGCCCTTCCAGTCTGTCTGTGAGGTAATTTCTTCTCTAGAAAACTGCAGATCAGGACAATTATCTAGAAAGGGATCTTTCTCCCCTCTATGTCTTTGATGATACAATAGACTCATGTGTAGAACTATTTAACTAACATGGCTCCATGACTTACATACTATATTCTGTGATGTTTCCCATCTTTCCCTTCTTTTCCCCATTTTAAATAGTTTATTTGAATTATTTTCCCCTCTCTTTTTTGGAAAACAAAGTAAAAAATATTATCTAGCAATAAGTTGTCATTCAACTTCCCTCATTTCCTTACTTCATCTTGTCCACCAGGCTCATCTCCAGAATGCTACATTGGCAGGTGGGGTGGCTGTTGGTTTCTCAGCTTCCATTATCCAGCATCCTTGGCTTGCAATGACGTTGGGCCTGGCAGCTGGAGCACTCTCCGTCCTTGGTTTTGACTTTCCTAAGGTAAATGGTCCACTTTTTAAACTGTGCTGTTTATGAACAAGAGGAGACTGTACACAACAGCTGGTGGCTTACACAAGTTCCCTTAAACATGCAGTTGCCCTTTAAGAACTTAATCCAACCACTGGACACCTAAAAGTCTTCGGGAAGACACACATGTGCATGCTACCAACAGCATTCCAGTTATGAATCAATAGGAGCATAGTGTCTAGATCTAGGGAAGTCATGCTACCCCTCTATTCCGCTTTGGTTAGACCACACCTGGAATATTGTGTTCAATTCTGGGCACCACAATTGAAGAGAGATATTGACAAACTGGAATGTGTCCAGAGGAGGGCAACTAAAATGATCAAGGGTCTGGAGAACAAGCCCTATGAGGAGTGGCTTAAGGAGCTGGGCATATTTAGCCTGAAGAAGAGAAGGCTGAGAGGAGATATGATAGCCATGTAAATACTGTAAGCAAATAAATAAATAAATGTGTTCGGACAGGTAAATCGGGCCGGGGCCATTTAGGGCTTTATAGGCTAAAGCTAGCACTTTGAATTGTGCCTGGTAGCAAACTGGCAGCCAAGCTGCAAACCTGTGCCTTCAAGGGGAGCGTAATCTAGAACAGGCTGAGACCCTATACCTTGTTCGGCCTTGCGACTTATCCAATGTTCTGCTGGTCAGTTTATGTTGGATAAGCGAGACTCTACTGTATTGTTGAAAGTAAAGGTAGTGACTGTGAACCATCCAATAGGACCAGTTGAGAATTGGGGGCTGTTGTTTAATTAATTAACAAGCCCTATGAAGAGCGGCTTAAAGAGCTGGGTATGTTTAGCCTAAAGAAGAGAAGGCTGAGAGGAGATATGATAGCCATGTATAAATATGTGAGAGGAAGCCACAGGGAGGAGGGAGCAAGCTTGTTTTCTGCTTCCCTGGAGACTAGGACGCGGAACAATGGCTTCAAACTACAAGAAAGGAGATTCCATCTGAACATGAGGAAGAACTTCCTGACTGTGAGAGCCATTCAGCAGTGGAACTCTCTGCCCCAGAGTGTGGTGGAGGCTCCTTCTTTGGAAGCTTTTAAGCAGAGGGTGGATGGCCATCTGTCAGGGGTGATTTGAATGCAATCTTCCTGCTTCTTGGCAGGGGGTTGGACTGGATGGCCCATGAGGTCTCTTCCAACTCTTTGATTCTATGATTTTATGATGTACACAAGTGATGTTCCACAGGGGCAAAACAGTCACTGTGTATTTCTTATTCCCTCTTTCAGTCCTGTGCTGGGAGAAATCAGTTAATCAATCAATCAATCAATCAATGCACAGTGGGATAACAAGCAGCACATTGGCAGAATCAGTGACCCAATGTCATTGTTCAGTAGAAAGTTGGTTGAGTTCAGCAACACAGATTTACACTGCAAGATACACCAGGTAGTATCTTGGAGCATCAAGGCTCCCACACTGGACCCTACTCAATTGAACAAAGGAGCCCCTGTTGGCACAGTGGGTTAAACCCTTGTGCCAGCAGGACTGAAGACCAATAGGTCACAGGTTGGAATCCAGGGAAAGCACGGGTGAGCTCACTCTGTCAGCTCTAGCTCCCCATGCAGGGACATGAGAGAAGCCTCCCACAAGGATGGTAACACATCAAAACATCTGGGTGTCCCCTGGGCAACGTCCTTGCAGACGGCCAATCCTCTCACACCAGAAGCGACTTGCAGTTTCTCAAGTCACTCCTGACACGACAAAAAAACCACTTTCGGCCAGTTTCCAATCTCCCCTTTTTGGGCAAAGTCTTGGAATGTGTGGTAGCCTCGTAACACCAGGTGTTCATGGAGGAAACTGATTATCTGGATCCACAACAGTCTGGCTTTAGGCTGGAACATGGAACTGAAACAGCCTTGGTCGCCTTAGTGGATGATCTGTGTACAGAGCTGGACAGCGGGAGTGTGTCCCTGTTGGTTCTCCTGGACCTCTCAGTGGTCTAACCAAGACAGAACAGAGGGGTAGCATGACTTTCCTGAATCTCACTCTGACATTGAATTATTTAGGCAGCAAGCAGCTCCATGTTATCACAATGCTAGATCTCCGTGTATATGTTTGAACTTTAAATGAGCCGTCTATGATGCTGAATCCATTTTAAGGAGAGGGTCCCTAAAATAGCTCCCTAAGAGTTCAGAACAAAATCCAGAGCAGATGGAAGCAACCAATTGTGGCTGACTGTAGACTTTTCATATTCTGCCTTTCCGTGTCATCATGGGCCAGCCCTGCTTAGCCAACTCCATTGCAATAAACAGAGAGCTTCTATAAAATGTTGAACTGCATTTCTTCTTGTTTTTCACATGTTCCTTTGTCCTGACTCCAGAAATGCCGGGATCCAGCCATTGGGATTCATGACACCCGTGGAGTTCATTCCATGTTTGGCTTGCCCAGTTTCCTTGGAGGAATCGTCTACATTATTCTGATTGTAGTGGACAGCTGGGAGAACCTATCATTGTAGGTTGAGCATCTTTATATGTATAATCCTTTGGCTGATTTAATAGAATACAGGCTGCCATTTTAAATCCCCCATTACATTGGGTTTTCCCAATGGGCACTCTGGGAAATTCAATACAGCAGCTTTGAACTGGTCATACTGGGAGCAGACGATAGCAAGAGAATAGTTTGTTGGTTGGTCACCCACCCCTTGAATCTGGTCTTGGTCTGGAAAATCATAATTTGGGGGTGGGGGTCCCATTCTGCAATCAATAACCTGTGGGGTCCCGCAAGGCTCCATTTTGTCTCCCATGCTTTTTAACATCTACATGAAACCGCTGGGTGAGGTCATCCGGAGTTTTGGAGTTGGGCGCCATCTCTATGCAGATGACACACAACTCTATTACTCTTTTCCACCTAACTCCAAGGAAGCCCCTCGAGTGCTAGATGAGTGCCTGACCGCTGTGGCTGTCTGGATGAGGACGAACAAGCTGAAGATTAATCCCGACAAGACAGAGGTCCTCCTGGTCGATCGTAAGCCAGACCGGGGTATAGGGTGGCAACCTGTGCTGGACGGTGTTGCACTCCCCCTGAAGTCACAGGTCCACAGTTTGGGGGTCGTCCTGGATTCTTCACTTACGTTTGAGGCTCAGATGTCGGTGGTGTCCGGGAGGGCCTTTGCACAATTAAGACTCGTGCGCCAACTGCGACCGTACCTCGGGAAGGCGGATCTGGCCAAAGTGATCCATGCCTTAGTCACCTCTAGACTGGATTACTGCAATGCACTCTACGTGGGGCTGCCCTTGAAAACTGCCCAGAAATTTCCGATGATCTAGCAGGCGGCAGCCAGGTTGTTAACTGGGGAGCCTTACAGGGAGCGGTCAACCCTCCTGTTCAAGGAGCTCCACTGGCTGCCATTCATTTACCAGACCCAATTCAAGGTGCAGGTTCTTACCTACAAAGCCCTAAACGGTTTGGGACCCGCCTACCTGCGTGACCGCATCTCTGTATACGAACCCACGCGATCCCTTCAATCATCCGGAGAGGCCCTGCTCTCGATTCCACCAGCATCGCAGGCGCGATTGGTGGGGATGAGAGAGAGGGCCTTTTTGGTGGTGGCCCCTCGACTTTGGAACTCTCTCCCTAAAGACATCAGACAGGCCCCATCTGGCAGTCTTTAGGAGGAGCTTGAAGATGAGGTTGTTTCAGTGTGCCTTCCCGGAATAATGATCCCATAGCACTTTGTCCTCCAAAGCACTTTACATTTTTAGATCTGCTCGTATGCCCTTCCATAAACGCCACTATCACCTTTTAGTCCATGTCCCAGCATTACTTCCAATTTTAACTTTACATTTGGCCTTCCCACTGTAAAGGGGGGGGGGGGGATTATCATTCCACTCTTTCTAGCCACCAGACAAAAGGGGGATAGTACATACGTTGACCTAGATGACCCTCTTCCACTGCTTAAGAAACATAAAGGCAATATCAACAAATTGAAAATGTCTAATGTACACCATTGGTTGGTGTCTCCCATGTCAGTAGGGTAGAGTTTGGATTCTTAAAAGGAGTCGTCCAAGGTGCTGAAACTATTTGACCCACTTGATTGCTGTGAGTTTGTTGGGGAATATGGCCCTGTTCCAGCAGCATTCTCTGCTAACATTTCACCTGCACCTGTGGCTGACATCTTTAGAGGTTCTGTTGGCAGTGAAGAAAGGGGAGTCTATCTATCTATCTATCTATCTATCTATCTATCTATCTATCTATCTATCTATCTATCTGTGGAATAATGTCCAGGATGGGAGAAAAAAATCCTTGTCTCTTTAAGGCAAGTGTGAATGTGGCAGTTAGCAAGCTTGAACAAGCATTTGAGTAGCCATGAAGTTTGCACAGTCAATCAGTGAGGGTATCTGCATCGAGGTAGCCTAGCTTTTGTTGCTTGGAGGCATCCTCTGTTTGCGAGGTGTTATCTCGCCCTTGATTACTTGCTGTCTGGATTCTGCTATTTTGGAGTGGTGTTCTTCATCTTCTGTCTTGATTATGCTGGTTTTTTTTAATACTGCTAACCAGATTTGGTTCATTTTCATGGTTTTCTCCTTTCTCTTGAAATTGTCCATGTGCTTGTGGATTTCAGTGGCTTCTCTATGTAGAGAAGTCAGCTGTAGCAGATCTCTTGACAAACTAACCTGGACACAGCATGTTAATTGGAGAAGACAGAAATGCTGGACCACTCTAACAACCACCATATCAGACCACACAGAGAAGCCATTGAAATCCACAAAGCGTGTGGACAATTTCAACAGAAAGGAGGAATCCATGACAACAGGAGAACTCCAGACAACAGGGAATCAAGGGCCAGTTAACACTTCCCAAACAGAGGATGTCTCCAGGCAACAGAGGCCAGGCTACCTCTAGGCAGATATCTTCATGACTACTCAATGCTATTCAAGCATGCTACGGGGGTTGAATGAAAAGTAATGCCTCCACCTTCGTTACTTGGGTTTGGATGGGAATATTTTAATAAATCAAATGCAGAAATAATCCTTAGAATGTGCTCTTTAACTACCACTATTCAATTTGCCAACAATGAACAAGTTTTCTGAATCCGTCACGGAAGAAGTATGTGTGCTTTCATTTCAGGCGTCAGCATCCTAGGTACCCATTGTGCACAGGACTTCTGATAGCCAAACAAAGCAATAATGTGACCCATGCGTTCTTGTGAAATGCCGATTAAGCTTGAAATTTCTCTCTGAGTGATACGACAATCATCCTGAGTCAATCTGTCAACCTTTTGCTTGTGAAAATCGGTGGTTGCTATCACAGGACATCCAACTCTTTGTCACGGAAAGCCAGATGTTTCCCACCTCAGCATCTTTAAACTTACTCGCCCAATGACGCACAGTACTCACATCAACACAATCACCATAAACAGCTTGCATTCTCTGATAAATCTCCTTTGAGGTGACACAGGCCCGTAGCCAGGATTTTGATTTGGGGGGGGGGGGGAGGCTGAGTTTGATTCGGGGACGGGGCTGACTCTGAGTGAAAGAGGGTCTACCCTAGCAAACCTTTTGTATCGTTACCCCAATACCCCCATGCATATGAGATATATTGAGCATGGTGATCAGATCATGATATGAATAAACATAACAGTTTAAATAACATACCAGTAAGGCCTTTTCACAGACCACTATGAGAATTTCGGGGGGGGGGGAGCCCCCAAAGCCCCCCCCCCCCCCCAGCTACATGCCTGAGATGACATCTTCTGCTATCAAGCATTCAATGACTGCATGTTGCTTAAGTTGCATTGACCAACCGTCTGTGCAGGGTTCCATACTTCGCACTTTAACAATACAACCGTTCAATGCTAAGGCTTCCTGCCAACATGGAACTGTAGAGGTGAGTCTACTGAACAAGCTACTACCTGCTGTATACCAGTACTACCATCTGTTGAGGAGTTAGGAAGGTGGAGGCATTACTTTTCATTCATCCCTTGTAATTGCAACATTCACACTTGCTTCAAACAGATACTGGTTCTTTCTCCCATCCTGGATATTATCCCACAGAGATATGTACACTCCACTTGTTTCACTGCCAACAGAACCTCTGAAGATGCCATTAGCCACAGATGTAGGCAAAATGTCAGGAGATAATGCTGCTGGAACATGGCCCTACAGCCTGAAAAAGTCACAGAAACCTAGTGATTCCAATCATGAAATCCCTTAACAATATTTGTCCCACTATTTGTGAGACAGTGTTCAGAATCTTCTTTAAGACCTGGATTAAAGGGGTGGATTGACCAGCCCACCAACATGGGAGACACCAACCACACAGGTATGGACAACAGAGATGGGGAACTTTAGTCATTATTTTAAAATGCCTGTTATAATAGATTATCCCGTTAAAAGTTGTTTTGATCTGCAAGTAGTTGATTTATATTTTCAGATCGGGCTATTCAGCTTTGATCGAAATTGGTGCACTAAGCCTGAGCATGGCCCTCGGTCTGATCGGCGGTCTCATTACAGGTATGTATTATAGACACTCCCAATTCAAAGTGCTGGTTTTGACCTACAAAACACTATACGGCTCCGGCCCAGCGTACCTGTCCGAACGCATCTCCTTCTATGTCCCGCCTCGGAGTTTAAGATCTTCTGGGGAGGCCCTGCTCTCGGCCCCACCTCTATCACAAGTGAGATTGGTGGGAACAAGGAGCAGGGCCTTCTCGGTGGTGGCCCCTTGCCTGTGGAATTCACTTCTTGGGGAAATTAGGTCATTGACATCCCTCCTCTCTTTTAGAAGGAAACTTAAAAACATGGATATGGGACCAGGCCTTTGGGTAATCTGGCAGATAGACAAAGGACAATGACGACTAGAATTGATAGGATTTGACATTGTGGAATGAACTTACGGATTATGAGCTGGCAGACGTTGAACATTAGATTGGTTTTGATTGATTGTGATGTATAACTTGTTTGTTTTAATTGTTTATAATTGCTGTTGATACATGTTTATCTTATTGTCTGTTGTTGGCATCAAATTGTGTTTTTGTAAGCTGCCCTGAGTCCCCCCTCGGGGGTTGAGAAGGGCGGGGTAGAAATGCGCGAAATAATAATAATAATAATAATAATAATAATAATAATAATAATGTTTGAAATGCAACAGCAATTGGTTGTTGTCGTATGCCTTCCAACGTACAGCAACCCGAAGGTGAACCTAACATGGGGGTTTCTTGGTCTTCCAAAATCTGAAATACAGCTCAAGCATTTCAGATAACGGGTACATAACCTTCTGCATTCCAGTATTATTTGTATTCCAGCATTGGCATGCAAAACATTCCACGTCCTAACTTCATTAATCAACATTCAGAAAGATGGATTTCCTTGTTAACGGATTTCCTTATTAACAAGTAACATTCCCCCACTCATTAGGAACGACTCGTGTTTCATTAATTAATATTAAATTCATAGGTACTTGAACTGACTTTGATGAATACGATATTAACTATGCCATTGACTGTCTTACTGAGAACTAAATGGACTGTAGTCAATGGCGTAATCAATATCAACGCCTTTAGTGCCTTTTCTCATTTATGCTTGTGCATTGGGTGGTTTGCTAATGGATTTTGACAGCATACTGCAATGTCGGTTGGATTTTGAAAAGGTCAGATTATAGGGAACACTACGGGTTTGGGAACTGTATGCCATCTTTGATATGAATTCGAGATGGCTCAAAATATGTTTTCAGTTGTAATGCATTGCAGATCATAGGATGTGCTTAGCTTATCTTATCAGGGCAGCTGGCTTCCATTATTTTTTCTTACTCTCTAACCGCTTATTTTTCTCAGGTTTCTTCTTAACTTTCAAGTGTTGGAAAGCACCTCCTGTAACCAAGTACTTTGACGATCAAGCTTATTGGGAGGTAAGATTCACGTGCAAATTAGGCGGTGATTTTTCAGAAGATGTGGATTTTGTGATGAAATGAAAATCATGCGTATTTCACATTTGATCAGCCCACACACTACCTTGCCAGAGGAAAAAAAATGCCACGCAGATGAACAGTAAATAACAAGTATTATCGAAGGCTTTCATGGCCAGAATCACTGGGTGGTTGTAGGTTTTTTCGGGCTATATGGCAATGGTCTAGAGGCATTCTCTCCTGACGTTTCGCCTGCATCTATGGCAAGCATCCTCAGAGGTAGTGAGGTCTGTTGGAACTAGGGAAAAGGGTTTATATATCTGTGGAATTACCAGGGTGGGACAAAGAACTCTTGTCTGCTGGAGCTAGGTGTGAATGTTTTAACTGCAAGACCGCATTTGGAATGGAATACGTGAAGGAAAGAGGGCTAATTGTTTAGTTCCAGTTGTCCTGATCCTTCTTGTCTCAGCAATGAACTGTAATGTGAAAAGGAGTCTGCAAGGAGTTACCTCTTATCATTGACTTGCATTGAATCATAAAATCATAGAGTTGGAAGAGACCTCATGGGTCAAGTCCAACCTCCTGCCAAGAAGCAGGAAAATCGCATTCAAAGCACCCCCGGCAGATGGCCATCCAGCCTCTGTTTAAATGCTCCCAAAGAAGGAGCCTCCACCACACTCCGGGGCAGAGAGTTCCACTGCTGAACATCTCTCACAGTCAGGAAGTTCTTCCTAATGTTCAGATGGAATCTCCTTTCTTGTAGTTTGAAGTCATTGTTCTGCATCCTAGTCTCCAGGGCAGCAGAAAACAAGCTTGCTCCCTCCTCCCTATGACTTCTCCACATCTTAATACCTGGCCCTCATCATGTCTCTTCTCAGCCTTCTCTTCTTCAGGCTAACCATGCCCAACTCTTTAAGCCGCTCCTCATAGGGTTTGTTCTCCAGACTCTTGATCCTTTTAGTCACCCTCCCTGGACTCATTCCAGCTTGTCAATTGCGGTGCCCAGAATTGGACACAGTGTGATTCCAGGTGTGGTCTGACCAAGGCAGAATAGAGGGTAGCTGGATCTAGACACTATACTCCTATTGATGCAGGCCAACATCCCATTGGCTTTTTAAGCTGTCGCATCACATTGTTGACTCATAGTTAACTTGGTGTCCAAGGACTCCAAGCTCTTTTTCAAATGTACTGTTGTCAAGCCAGGGTCATAGACTCTTCTCAGGCTGGATCTACACTTTCATATAATTCAGTATCTGATATCAAATTATTATTATTATTATTATTATTATTATTATTATTATTATTATTATATTTATACCCCACTTTATCTCCCTTGAAGGGCACTGGATTATATGAACTGGATTGCTTCGAATTGGATTATATGAGCTACACTGCCATATAATCAACCCCCCCCCCCCCATCTACAATGCTATATAACATCCAGATTATCTGCTTATAAATTAACTTGACAGGGGGAGTGTGTCCCTATTGATTCTCCTGGACCTCTCAGCGGCCTTCAATACCGTAGACCGACGATATCCTCTGGGACGCCTGGGACTTGGAGCGACTGTTCAGCAGTGGCTCCAGTCTGTCCTGGAAGGTTGCTCTCAGAAGGTGTTGCAGGTGGACACCTTCTTGGCCCCACAGCCCTTTTGTCCTATGGGGTCCTGCAGGGCTCAGCATTGTTCCCCATGTTATTTAAAATCTACATGAAGCCGCTAGGAGAGATCATCCAGAGTTTTGGAGTCTGGTGTCATCTTTTGGAGTCTGATGTCATCACTCCTTTCCACCTGCTGCTAAGGACACTGTCCAGGTCCTGAACCAGTGCCTGATGGAAGTGATGGTCTGGATGAGGATAAACAAATTGAAATTGATTTTTTACTTTGTAGTAAACCAATATGGTTGCACTATTTACAAGAACAAGGTTTCCATAACACAAATAAAGTTCTTTATACTTCCTTCTTTGCTTCAACCTGGACTTCTTTCTCATGAAGATAAACAGCTTCTAGCTTTGCTATCACAGAGCTTCCTCTCACACCCAACTTACACAGGAACTTCACACATTGGAGCTTTACACATGAGGCTTTTAACCTGGGGCTTCTCTCATCGAAGTTTCTCACACCAGGCCTTCTTATACTGAGGCCTTCAAACACTGAGGCCTTTCTCCCACTGAGGGCTCTCTCAGAGTGACATCTCTCTCACACTGAGGTGATCTAATATTGAGGCCTTCACATACTGAGGCTTACTAACACACTGAGGCCCTTCTCCCACAGAGACCTCTCACAGACTGAGGGCTACTAAGTTATAAGCATATTTACTTATATTGAACTGCATCTTTTACTGAGTCTTTGTATACATGTAACCCTTTTAGTGCTTGCCTCACATTTTTATAATTCAAAATACCTAGTTAATTTTTAATATTTCTAGCAGGACTTGCTTCTGATTGAACTTATTAGGACCACCCACAGACTTTAGTACAAGGAAGTTACGTCTTCTGAACTATATCTGAACTTATATTAGGAATCAAAGACTAAACTGGAGAAAATATCCAAGTGCAGTTCTGTGATCTCTGGTAGTAACAGAATGCATTGTAGTGTTGCACTGTAAACATTATCAGCATTGCATTTTTTTACCCAACATCCAGAACACAAGTCATTTACTTGTTAAGCTTGTATTGAAACCGGGGAGTCATTCTCCCCAAATACACCCAGGGTTCCATAAAAGAGCAAAATAAAATGTTATTTATTTTTGTGAGTGTCCTCACACTGTTTTCTTTTTTCTAGTTCCCAAATTTAGCTGTTGGATACTGAACACAGCCGTCAAGTAAGCTAGACGCTCAAGAGAGAATTGTTTCCTATTCTCATCAGATTCTACAAAGTGAGACTTTGTGTCTGCTTTATTAAAGCCGCGAGAAGTTCTGCATTCATCTTTCTGCAGTAAAGAATGATTTACAAGACTAAATGCATAACACTGCAACCCTGTAGTGTTTGTTTTGCCGTCTGTGCCCCTGCTCAAAAGATTTCGCCTCGCTTTCTGTCACTGTGATAACACAATGTAACAAAAATTGACAAATTAAAGGTGTTATTCCCTGTTTAATTGTTTGGTCCTTACTTTGTGTGGTCCTTACTTTGAAAGTAGTTGTTTTACTACAGAAACATCGCATTTGTGGCTGCCACAATCTAGGTTGAATTGGTTGAGACTCAGTGAGATATTCATTGAAAAACTATAGCAAAATGTGCTGCAGGATGTCCCGTAAAAAAACAAGTTTGTTTTTCCATGTTTTTATGAAAGAACCAATTGGATGTTGTTCTTAATGAGATATGTCATATTATCACCCAACACCGCTGGAGAAATTACACTGTTTAGTTGGTATTGCACCACTTGACATCTATCAGGAAGTAGCAGCCAATAATGAAAGGGCCAAGGCAGTGACATCTCTGGCCCATTCCCTGTTCAGTTATCACCCAGCATGCCAATGCCTTCAATCAAGCAATAGTTTTCTAAGATCTACAGAGATACTTGCAGGAAGACATCAGCAAGAGAGAGTCCAAAAGAGACAGGCCAGAACCTGGAACTTCTAGCCATGGCTGATACTGAATGAGAGACTCCCTTCTGGGCACACAGAAGACTGGGCAACTTGAAAGGCGCTGAACAGACTGTGATCTGGCTTCATGGGATGCACAGCCAACCTTAAGAAATGGGGCCACAAAGTTGAGTCCATGACATGTGAGTGTGGAGAAGAGCAAACCACAGACCACCTATTAAGCTTAAGCAGCTGAGGGGGAAAAGGAAGGGGCCAGGAGCTGTTAGGAATTGTGGGAGTTGAAGTCCAAAACACCCAGAGGGCCCAAGTTTGCCCATGCTGGATATATATTAATCTTATGTCCCTTTTATTCAAAAAGACTTAAATACCATTTTGTCTCTTCCTGAGGAACAGCAACTGTACAAAAAAAGCCACACCACACACTCAAGAGCTATGAAAGAAACATTTATATATTTTTAATATCCATTATAACAAAAACATTCAGCAAGAGGACGACTTTGTACGACTCTTATCCTTCTTAACAATTTTACATTGGTCATACAATAAAATGCTTAATGTCGTAAGCTAAGAGAAGAGAACAGAATAATAATAATAAAAAAAGAAGAAATGTGCTTCATGATTTTAAAGTGTAGACAGTGTTTATCGTCAGTGATATCAGAGCGGAAATGTTACAAAATGGAGGTGGGCGATTAAAAATAGCAGGCCGGGCGCAGTCCCTTATTGCCACAAATCTTCCGTGCGACCAAACTTAAAGACCAAACCTCTGCAAATGAAAGACAAAAAACATTTAAAAGTGAAAACGAATAGGTTCAAATAGCTTTTGAACATTGCTTCCAATATTAACCTGGACGTCTAATAGGAAAATCTATATAAATGAAAATGTAATTTTCATTTGTGGGATTAACAGAATTCAAAAACCACTGGGGGAATTGACACCAAATGTGGACACAAGACACCTAACAACCCAATGTATGTCCTTCACTCAAAAAAACACTGAAAAACACAGCAGAAGGGACTTAAAAGCCCCAAAAAGCTAAATGACGAAAAGCTAAATGACAATACAGAAAAAAGGGAAGAAAGAGGGAGGGAAGGGGAGAAAGAAAGAAAGAAAGAGGGAGGGAAAGAAAGAAAGAAGGAAAGGGAGAAGGAAGCATGGAAGCAAAGAGAGGAGAGAAGAAAGAGAGAAAGGGGGAAGAAAAAGGGGGAAGGAAGGAAAGTAGAGAAGAAGGAAGGAAGAAGGAAAGAAAAGGGAAAGAAGGAAGAAAGAGGGAGCGAAGGAAGGGGGAATGTAGAGAAAGAGGTGGGGAAGGAAAGAAGGAAAGAGAGAAGGAAGAATAGAGAGACAGAAGAAGAGAAAGAAAAGGGGGGAAGGAAGGAAAGAGGGAAGGAAGGAAGAAGAGAAGGAAAGACGGGAAGGAAGGAGGGAGGGAAGGAGGGAACGAAGGAGAGAAAGAGGGAAGGTTGGCCACAGCAAAGCGTGGCGGGTACAGCTAGTATGACATAAAATAAGAGATTTCGTATGCATGTGGGTGGAGAGACAATTTGGGATGCTAGAATTATGTTTGGTAAGACTGCCTGCCCGTTTTCTTTGAATGTCCCAAATATTTTTCCCAGATACTCAACTCAAACCTTTAAGTTACTTCCAGGGCAGTAGCCGGGTTTTGGGGGGTGGGGGGGGGGGGGGGGGGGGAGAGACATGAGAAGCAAAAATTAAACAAGTCCCTCCAGAACTGCAGGCACTTTCCCAAGCAGATTTTGACAATGTAATCATACTGTAATTACTCGCAGCGATAGCATACAATACATAAGAAGCACAACGGGGAAAGAAAAACTGACTGGACTTGCACACTTGAGTGTCCACCGAAGTTTATCAATGGAGCCTGATTTCTGTCAAAGTGTATTGACACAGTTTTCAAGTGTTTCCAACAGATGTAGAATTCTTTTGTAACTATAAATTACCAATTGACAGTCATTTTTAGTTATTTTAACACTCAAAACTTTGGATGTTTATAACTCAGGGACAGTCTGTATATATATTACAAATGCTTCACATTTTTGAGTACAGCAGAGCCTCGATTATCCAACATAAATGAGCCGGCTGAAAGTTGAATAAGCGAAAATGTTGGATAATAAGGACCGATTAAGGCAGTGGTTCTCAACCTGGGATTCCCAGTTGTTTTTTTGGCCTTAAACTCCCAGAAATCCTAACAGCTGGTAAACTGGCTGGGATTTCTGGGAGTTGTAGGCCAAAAACATCTGGGGACCCCAGGTTGAGAACCACTGCTTTAATCGCTCCTCATTATCCAACATTGAGAACCACTGGATTAAGGAAAAGCCTATTAAAAATCAAATTATGTTATGATTTTACAAATTATGCACCAAAACATCATGTTTTACAACAAATCAACAGAAAAAACTGTCCAATACACGGTAATGTTATGTAGTAATTACTGTATTTATGAATTTAGCACCAAAACATCGCAACGTATTGAAACAGCCTGAGGGCAGGAGTCAGACTGGATAATACAAAACGCTGGATGAGCAAAGGTTGGATAAGCGAGACTCTACTCCATTTCGTTTCATTCTCTTTGTGCTTTATTTCATCTTTATACTTTTTTTGGACTGTCATTTCTTGATGATTTTGATATTGCAAGTGATTTATTTTTGTGTATGAATTGCCTCGCGTGATTAAAAAAGAAACAGAAATGAATCCTTACCCAAAAAAGATAAACGCGTTTTGGAAAAAGACTGCAATTCCTGGATATACCGCTGGTTTGTCTGGTTTGTCTGAGAAGGAAAAAAATAGTTAGATTGCCAGATATTTATTCCTAGCCCCGACACCCCACTAATGCCTATCTAAACAATTTTGTAAATTCTGAAGGGTTTGGCAAATGGTTAATTCTGATACTATTCCTATCAGAATCTGACAAACAGATTTTGTTTTACTTATGTACTTGCAATGCCTTTATATACTGCTTTCTACCACAGTGGTTCTCAAGCCGATTGCTGAAAGCAATCACTTAAAACCTCACTCTGGTTTGAAAGAAAGCAGAACAAATACAAATTAAAATTGTATAAATTGTGTAGATGATATACCCTGAACCAGATATATAATTGCTTGCTATCACATATCTACTTTCACAAGTTCCCCAAAACAAGAACTGAGGCTACAATCCTAAATGCACTCATTGTTGCCTATGCTCCAGGAGACAGTGGGAATTATTTCTGAGTAAAAGAGGCATATGACTGAACTGAGTATCAGACAGTGCAATTTTATGGAATTAGGTTTCACTGTATTTAATGAGGTATACTGTCATGTTATTGTGAGTAGAACTGCAGCTTACATAAAATGTGTTTACTATACTTATAGTTCGCACATATCACTTCAAGCAATGTTTCTCAATCTTCCTAATGCCGCGACCCCTTAGTGAAGTTCCTCATGTTGTGGTGACCCCCAACCATAACATTATTGCAGTTGTTCCTTCATAACTGTCATTTTGCTACTGTTATGAATCATCATGGAAATATCTGATATGCAGGATGTATTTTCATTCACAGGATCAAATTTGATACAAATACTCAATACAAACACCCAAATGCTGGGTTGTTATAGGTTTTTTCGGGCTATATGGCCATGGTCTAGAGGCATTCTCTCCTGATGTTTCACCTGCATCTATGGCAAGCATCCTCAGAGGTAGTGAGGTCTGTTGGAACTAGGAAAAAGGGTTTATATATCTGTGGAATGGCCAGGGTGGGACAAAGGACTCTTGTCTGCTGGAGCTAGGTGTGAATGTTTCAACTGACCACCTTGATTAGCATATAATGGCCTGACAGTGCCTGAGCAAACTTTTGTTGAGAGGTGATTAGATGTCTTGTTTGTTTCCTCTCTTTTTCCTAGTTCCAACAGACCTCACTACCTCTGAGGATGCTTGCCATAGATGCAGGCGAAATGTCAGGAGAGAATGCCTCTAAACCAGGGCCATATAGCCCGAAAAAACCTTCAACAACCCAGTGATTCTGGCCATGAAAGCCTTCGACAATACATTACCCAAATGTTATTTGGGAGTTTTATTTCCTGGGGTTTATAATTCACCTACAATCAAAGAGCATTCTGAACCCCACCAATGATGGAATTGAAACAAACTGGGCCAAACTTTCCACACATAACCCCCACGAACAACAGAAAATATTGTGTTTTCTGATGGTCTTTGGTGACCCCTCTGGCACCCCCCTTGTGACCCCTCCCAGGGGTCCTGACCCTCAGGTTGAGAAACTCTGACTTAAAGCAAGAGAGCAAATCATTCCCAGGAGATTACTATCCAGGCAATGGCAAGATCTAGAAAAATTTAGTTTCATCAAGGTTTCATTTTGTACTTTTAGAACATAGTTCTCCATAGGGAAAAACTATACAGAAAAATAAAACATTGCTCAGTCTCTGATAAAGGAACACCCCAAGCCCATTCTCTGCCTATGGGAATCCCATTTCATTATTATTTATACAATATCATTAATGTAAATTGCGTTTTTAGAAAACTTTCATA